ATGCACTAGCACAATTAATGTGACAAAGATGGTATGGCATGACAAGTCTAGGCTAGTAGTAGAAACCTATTTTACCGTCAGCTGGATAAGGCGGCGTGCGAACTCACCTGCTGCGGGACTGGAGCAGTGTCCTGGTCAGGAGTGCGCTACTGCTGCTGGGTAGACACTGACTGTGCTAATCCTAGGCATAGGCCTAATTATAAACAAACAAGTCATCGGACTGATATACGTTTATTAATTCAATTGAATTATTCCTCCATGATTTAATTGACGTTGACTAAACCGTCTCTCTGTAACTGCGTACGTAAACGATCACAAAAACTTCACACTACTGTTATGTATTGTCTAGAGTTGCTCGATCGTCGGGACGATTTTTCGATCAGCTGCTCGCCAAAATTGACAGACTGGTCTTGAATATTAATGAGTTGGTTAGAAAATGCTACCAAGCTACTGAAAAAAGTGATCAGCCTCGTTTTCACCTGATTTTCCCGTCTCATCACAACATGTTTTATTTCTCTAATTATCGTTACATCTCAACGTTTTGAATTTTTTAAGTATTTTTCCCGAACTCAGGAAAGGTTAAATAACCAATATATGGCCACTTGTCTCATCCCCGCACTTACCCTTTAAACACATTATTTAATAATACGTACAGTACCTGTTGTTTTGCTGTACTGCTCAGCAAATTTAATTATTACCAATAATATTGATGCACTTTTTATATTGTTTTTGCGTGCATTTCTTTAGGTCTGATTATGTTTTTCCAAGCACACATTCGTTGGGTAATGCTGGTCGGTAGTCTAGTTGTAAACAGAATAGGTCGCGCCCCCAAAAAGTAGACATGTGCTTCGGCTGTGATGACGTCAGATCGCCCAAAGTTTCATAGTGCGTGACAGTAAACCAGCTCGGTGTAATCAAGAATGTTTTGTTAAACAAATTTATAAAACAAAGCAAAAAACAAACTAGATTTGAACTCGTCACTGAGGACGAGTTAGGTGAGCCGCCGCACTATGACCCACGAGGAAGTGTGCGCAGTGCGGATTGACCAATATTTAAATGCTGAAAATGGCAAAATACGCTAATTTAATTTTTTTTTAAAGAATTTGGAGCATTTAAAAGATTTACTCATGCGTACGCGTACGTCATGACGCACGTGCGCATCTTAATGTCACTGTTGTCTCCTGATATGAAATATATATGTATCAACTTTCATTGACAAATGCCTGTTGGTGAAGTAGTAATGATCATTCATAGAATTTATCATATAAATTTTATCATATTTTTGAATTCAGATGGCAATATGGTGACGTCACAATATCCGATCAGCTATTATGATATATAAAATCATATCTACAACTCATGTGCTTTTAGAATATGAAATAAAAATTGGGGGTCACCTTTCATCCTAAGGAGCTATATTTTATTATAAATAGGCATAATTATAAGCATATGTAATATTTGACGCACGCGTACGCACACGTTAAGACGCGCAAACAAAAAGTAAGATACCTAACATTCAAACTTGATCTGAAGTATAAGCCCATTTAATATTATTCAGAAATGACGAATGGTTAAGATAATATGAGGTCATCAACGTTTTGAGAAAATAAATATAATTTTTTTCTTGTTTTTTAATTCAGATGGCAATATGATGAGGTCACAATGTCCGATCAGCTATTATGATATATACAATCATATCTACAGCTCATGTGCTTTCAGAATATGTAATAAAAGTTAGGGGTCACCTTTCATCCTAAGGAGCTATAACTCTGTCTCTTATACACATCTAGATGTGTATAAGAGACAAATATAAAGCATATATTAATTTTGACGCACGCGAACGCTCGCGTTATTACGCGCGCACAAAAATATAATGTACATAACATTTAACCATGACCTGAAGTTTATACCCACTAAATATGATTCAGAAATCACGACTAATTAAGGTGATTTTGGGGTCATCAAAGGCTGGACGAAATAAAGATGAGGGGGGTATGCAAAACCCTATATTTTGACCATGATGACGTCATCAAAATGTAAAAAAATACAACAAAGTTGGAAGACAATCGATCAAGAATAAGCTAGATACGCTCAAACGCGCATTTGCTAAAATGAGGTCATCGATGATATTCAGTTTGTTGAATTCAGATGGCAATATGCTGACGTCATAATGTCCAATCAGCCATTATGACCTATAAAATCATATTTACAACTCATGTGCTTTCAGAATATGTAATAAAAATTGGGGGTCACCTTTCATCCTAAAGAGCTGTAACTGTTTAAAATTAGTCTTTGATTTTAGCAAAATTTCACTGTATATCGGCACAAATGTGCTCAAAGGTCACTATGTTTGATGCGTGCGTACGGCATTGTTATTGGCCATAGAGTGATTGAAAAGATTGGAAACTTGTCAAAACAATGTCAGGAACCCAAAATGGGACAAAAAAAATTAATTTCTAGCTTCCATACGTGCTGCGCGCGTAAAAATGCGCACGCGTAGTGGTAAATTTCAAAACATTTTTAAATGCTCAAAATGGCCTGAAACGTGCTCTAATTTAATCTAAATGTGATTTCGAGCATTTTAAAAGTTTGACGCACGCGTTATGACGCGCACGCGTAAAATTAGTGTAAATTACATTTAACATTGACTTGAAGTTAATGCTCACTTAATACGATTTCGAAATTGCAATTTGTTAGGCTGATATGATCGATAATGTAAAAACGCAAAATTGCGCGTAGATGATGTCACACATAACTGCGCACTTTGAAAACCTTATTGTGACTATTCCAGTCCAAGCTAAATGTTTGTTAAAGCGTGCATGTATGAATCTCGTGCCAATTTTTAGATATTGTGCTAACAAAAATGGGGAGAACCTAGAATGAAAAAAAAAAAGATTTCGTACAATAACAATAGGTGATCCGCTAGCGGAGCGGATCACCAACAAGATGACGCTTGGTTACAAGTTCAACATTTTATTGCACTACAGGCTGTTTCATGAGGTACCTCTAGCACCTGATGATTGCCATGATTACATATGATAAAACTGAAACTATCTGCCCTTAAATGTGTTTGTCATCTCAAATTAACACGAGCACTCCCTTGTTAGTTGCCATGTCTACATCATCGAAAATACAGTAGTGCAATATTTTACGAATGCCCACAGAGGTCTGGTCTTTCTCCCCATTTCTATTCGCACGATATCTCAAAATTGCTACGAGTTACGCACACGGTCGCTTCATCAATCATTTTGGCTTCGCCTGGAATAGTCACGATAAGCTTTTCAACGTGCTCAGTCTACGCGAATTTTACACGTGTGCTTTACAACGCTCGCGCACGCGTGAATCAAAATTTCAAAATGCTCAAAATCACTTTTTGACTAAATTAGAGCACGTTACACACCATTTTGAGCATTCTAAAATTTTTTGAAATTTACCATTACGCGTGCGAATTTTTACGCGCGCAGCACGTACGGAAGCTAGAAATTAAGTTTTTTTGTCACATTTTGGGTTCCTGACATTGTTTTTACAATTTTATCGATGACGTCATTTTTAAAAATGAGCATTTGAGCGTATCTCGTCGATCGTCTTCCAACTTTGAGTATGTTATAGCTGAGGCAATTGTCTTTCATTATGTGACTTCTTTTTACATTTTGATGACGTCATAATGGTCAAAATAAAGGTTTTTGATGACCCCCTCATCTTTCTTTCCTTTAACATTTAATGACCCTATAATCACCTTAACCAGTCGTGATTTCTGAATGATATTTAGTGGGTCATGGTTAAATGTTATGTACCTTAATTGCCTGTGCGCGTGTCATAACGTGCGCGTGTGTCAAAA